GTTTACAGCCCTTTCCTAGCTGAAGATGCTTTACACAAATTTCCACAAATTTCCAATCCCAACATCTTTGTTAACTACCTCTGTAACTATTTGCACTTGTCTGAAATACTGACACATGAAATTCAGAGACATGGAGCACTTGTCCAGAAAAGCACTTGAGATTCTGTGAGAATGGAAAAAAAGCAGTCACTGATCCTACGTGTTCATACTTGATGACTCAAAGCTCTGACCATTAATGCCTGCAGAAGCTTTTATGCTGGCTTTATACTTCAGCATATATGTAGCTCCCTAACAACTCTGAAACAAGGAAAAGCACTGTATATGTCTTCCAGAGAGGAAACTGAATTAGAAGGTAATGATAAACCGAGTCCTATTTGCATGTGAGTTACTTAATTCCTTTCAACGTCTTCCTCAGATTGCTATTAGAGAGAAGTTGTGTGCTTGCTTGATTTCCATGCTTCACACTGGAAGTCTATGCCAGAAGTCAGAGAGATATGTTAGCAGATTCCAGATCCAGTCCTCTGCCCTTACTTTCCTCCTCTTTAATGTTACTCAGTTTGTGTCTCTTTCTGGGACTTCTGACAGGATATGTAAACAATACATAAAATTTCTAGAGTTTTAACTTTTTATACAAGCTACTGCAGGAAAAAGATTAAGGAGCGTAAGGAGTCTCATTAATCTGAAAGCAGGTTTTTTTGGTAACTGGCTTTATGAATTACTGCTGGCAGTAATGTACAGTGGACCACCACAAGGTCAAACTTTACAACTTTCCTAGGGGTTTCTAGGATCCTCTGCTATTCTATTCCACTGTAAATCTGATTTTCACTCTGTTGGGAAACAAGGACTATTCATTTCATACTCAAGATTTCCAGTATTTATACAACATTACACACTGTCAAATTCTAGAAGCTCAACTTCAAGCCCACAAGTTAAAAAAACACATTTACTTTACAGAACACATCTACTATTTAGACAGGTCACAGCTTCTCCTGATAACTGATGTACCATGAAACTCTGCAAATCGAGGCTGCAGTATAATTCCAGTCACCTTACCTTGGGGATGTCGGCAGTGACTTGCCCTCTGACCTCTGGGCTTCTAAAAGCTGCTGGAGTTGGTTCTGTAATGTCACACGTTCCACCGTCTGCCTGCAAGAAAATGTAAGACTGTTTACCTTGAACTATAAAACTGTCAGCATTAGTAAGCTCCAGGATAACTGATACTACCCATTCAACTTTGTATTCAAAAGAGAAGCCCTCTTCACCTACACTTTACATAGTAAATTAAAAGAGAAATTATAAATAGTAACGTACATAGAGAGTTTGTACTTGTCTCTGAATCCCTGTGGACATTTTGTGACCACTGAACAAGACCAACTGAGAGATGCTTAGTTGTCAGAGATTATTTATTATACTTCATACAAGGACAAGTGTGGGATCATAAGCAACAGTTCATAGAAACTGAATGACTCACAGAAAATAACAGTCCAGAAGCAAACTTGCTTGTGTAAAGGAAGAGGAAAAGGACAGATTAAAAAGTCACTTCCTACATTTGGTGGATGGGTTTTACTCAGCTAAATGATACCTCAGACAACTGCTCTCTCCTTTTCTATCTGCAAATGAACTCAGAAAGGAGCCTTTGCCCACTGGGAAGGGCTGGTCCAATCTTCTTCAGCTGCAGGAGTTAAGCATGACCTCTGTGTACTCAGAGACGCAGGAAAAAACACATCTGCTTGCTGCCCAAAACCTTACCAAAGGTCCTACCTGTGCTCTGCACCCATCTTATACTCAGTAGTGCTGTACCTACTGCAGTCTATCGCTTTCAGTGTGGTGTTGTGATCTACACCGCTTTGTAAATAACTTTAGAGACCAATCTTTAAAAAATTGTAACAGTAGTTATAAATTGATAGTACTAGGACAGTGACATGCATACTAGAAATTCCATTTACCATTGAACTGTCATCACAATCTGTAGTACTGTCACATACTTATTTCCATAGAAAGGATTCAGTTGAACAAGATAACCTGCAAACCTTCAAGTAGATCTGCAAAAATGAATAGATCAATTTGCCACAAAAAGTTATTGTCCCTTTCCCTGCTCCCATCCACTGTAGACCTTCCATTATAACATCAAAACACCCCTTTAGCTTGTCAACCACCACAGATAACATTAAATCTTGTTTAGTGGTCTGTAAGTTGCAGTGCCTTTAAACACTGCACAGACAGAATTATTGGGAAACTACTAGAAAACAAGAGATTTACAGCTTTTTGTTAGTCTACATATGCTATCTGTCCATCACCTGGAATACAATTGGTACATTTGGTTTTATTCCCTGGTCTTGATCAAATGACCATGTGAAAATGACTTTTTATCTGCTTCTCTGAGGCTCTGCTTCTTTTGCTGTAGAAGTAATATGCTTTTAGTACTTTTATTCTTGTTGGATCTGCAGAACTAATACAGTTATCCACTAGTGAGCTGGACTCTTTCCTAGCTTGCATACCATCAGCAGAAGAGTTAGCTGAGTTCCAAATACAGTCTTTATAACCGGCAATCTCAAAGCCAGAAAGAATCCAGGGGTTGTACATGCAGGGCTGGCAAAACCCAAATGTTTTTACTTCTAACTTGTCAGAGTATATCTGAAAAGTGCTACAGAAATAAAGGTGGGATCTTGACATACTGCCTTGACATTACATTTTACAATACAACCATGCTTTATGTAGATCCTTTCTTCCTTTAATTTTCCATCTTCCTTCCTCTTGCCTACACACTTCCTTAGAAGTATGTAGGCATGTAGTAATTAAAATTACTCCTACCACCTGCCAACATTGGCTTATGTTGCAGCTCCCCAGATACTGTCTTAAGAGCCAGGAAAATTTTCATTTGAGATTAGATCGTGACAGAATTTATCTGTTTTATTTGCCTTTTATGCTTCCTTCAACTTCTATTTGTAAATATCTAAATAATCTAGCTAACAGCTTCTTAGGCTTTTAGCTTTAATGGAAATCTCAGACACCTTTTCTGCTGAGTTAATGTTCTCATTCCACTTAAACATTTTACTGTGCTAAAAGAACTAAAGTTTCCCCCTTTTTCACAGTTTACTAAATAGCTCACAGAAATCCACACATCTTGCCAGCACTATCCTTAAAAATATATAACATACACATACATATCTAAGATAACAGTGAAAACATGGCATCACAACTTCTTGAAATAGCAATATTGCTAAGTATTAAAAACAGTGTGATTTAGGAGACAAGATCACTGTAGCTTCAGGGGTAAGAAAGTCTACTTTATGATATTTAATGCCCAAATTCTGAGGGTCTTAGCTTAGAAAATGTTTCCAGTAAGTAATATGTAAGGACCTTTCTGTGTCTACTTAAGACAGTTGTGGACCCTAGCTACCTCCTAACGAAACCAGGGAGCTCAGTAACTGGACAGGGAACACGCTGAGGCACTGGGTTCTACTGAAGTATCTTTCGAAGTATGTTGCCTTACTTCTCTGTTTTGTTTCAAATAAAACATGAATGGCCACTCTACAAAGCAGAAAATAAAACAGCTTGGCTAAGTAAAAAAGAGATTAACATTGTAAAGTTTAAACTGGGTTTCTTACTGTATGTCTAAATAACACCTACTACCACAAAAAAAAACCCAACCAACCAACCCCAAATCAGCAATCTGGACGCACCTTACCATACTACTACAGTAACTTTTTATTCAGCTATTTTTACAGCTATTCTTATGAAGTTTCATGAAAATCACGGATTTTGTTTACAGAACACAGAAAAGGGTGGCAACAGAGGATATTAAACCACTTTCTCATTTTCATCTTTTGACTCATGGTTTGCTTTGATCTTTGCATTGCCAGAGACTTTGGCTTAATAGTGTATCAAAAGGATCAACAAGTGTCTCATTCATGAATTGCTTTGCACATCCAGGTCCATAAACGTAGGACAGTGCAGCTCTTTGGGAATGCAGGCAGAACGGTGTGTCATCAAGCAGTACTGTAAAAGAAGTCTAGGGAAGCACCAATTTTATGTCATTAATTTTGATTTGGTCTCTTCAGGCCAGGAAAGCCCAAATAATACTAGTTGTTACTGCTAATGCCATCAGTGCTAGAAACCAGGTATTTGTACAGGTAGGAACTTTCTACACTCACAAGGTTTTTTCAGGTAGATGAAATCAGTGAGGGAATAATGAAGATTATAAGACCTCTGGAGACCTCAGGAAGTAAAACCAAAGCCAGTATTTTGTATAGACTCTAAGTAACTTTTGTGACTGTCCAAAGCTTTTTGTTTAGTTCAGAAAGTCCTACTGAGTTGACCAAACTGCTATAATTATTCAGAGATGCAAATCAAAGCTTTTATTTTGAAGCCAGTAACAGCAGGTTTTGTGGGCTACTTTCCTTGTTATCTATGGAAAGAACTGCTTGATTCTTTCCCTCTTTTGGGGAAAAGTCTCAGTTAATCTTGGGACGATTCAATGGAACATTTGTAGTTACCACTTATTTCCTTCTTTCAAATATAACGGCTTCTCTCTCTGAATGGAGACTTAGACCGAACTCTTTTGCACCTTACTGTACTCCTCTGTATTTGTCATCTGAGCTGCTTTGGATCAAAGAGCGGAAGGATGTGAGGACTCTGGAAAAATCTGATTTTATTGTTTTGGTTTTGTGTCTTTTTTTCAGGAATGGCTCCAAAATGCGTGATGGGTTCAATAAATTCTCTCTAGAACTACGCTGTGTTGCCTTGAATACTGGAAGAGCTCATAAAAAGAGAATGAAAGATGGTACTTCCTTCTTTGGTTTAGGATCTTTGAAGATAGGTCTTGCTAGGTGCTGGTCTAAGTGTCTGCACTGCTGTTCTTCTTGCACAATATCAACCATTCCAGTCTTCGTGTGGTTGGGGACATACAGTGTTAACAGAAAGAGGCTCTTATCCCTGGCTTATAAGGCACCGAGAATAAAAGAAGATTGCATGATTGGCTCATGTTTACAGCAGCTGAGGGAAGGCTGGGAAGCACGTAAGGGCTTTCTGTGTTGATACTGATCATCCAAGTAATCCATCATGACACAACCATAACTCCTCTGTCTCTAGAACAATGTCCATTAACACCAGCAGAAGCAGGTGGAGAAAATATAGGAAAGCCAGCTCAGCTGCCCGAGTTGGAGATATTCCTACGTAACAGTAGTTTGAAGTGACTTAGACTAAACTGTACTTCCATCTGTTGCCATCTGATGCTTTCAGGATCTCCAGAGGTGCTATAGCCAATGAATTCTTCTGCTATGTTAGAGGTAAGGCCCCTTGAGAAGCTGCCCCAGGCATGTACTTAATACCATCCTTGGATTTTTATGCAAGATGGGGCTGCAAAACAGGGCAAGAGTCTTCTTCCATCACTCCCTCTGGCTCCTGAGCATGGGCCTCTGAACGTGGTCGATTGCTTCTATATCAGAGCCATTTGCAGCCTGAGGCTTGCAGCCCAAATAGCCATGAAGAAGCTGTTTGTTCAAGCAGAAAATAGAATATTTCAGTGCCTCAGTAAACTGCAACAGAGTTGCACAAGAGACTCACATCTTGTACAAGATGAAGAAAGGGCTGCTGCTGCACTTACTGGAGCTAAATCTGAAGCCTGAAAAAATAGGCTGCTGAAGGGAAGCAGATTTAACTCTAGCTGAGACAAGCAAAGGAACCCATCAGGAGTATGACAACTGGAGGCTAGCCAATGTGACGC